GCAACGTCAAGCTGACGCGGTGCGTGTGGGAACCTTGTCCCTTCCCCAGCCCTTTAGCAGCCATTAGGAAGCTACTAAGGGGCCGGGGGAGGGACAAGGGGTGGGAACGAAAGTAAACAGTGTTTAATTTTGTTTCCCGTTGCAGCACCGAGGGCCACAGCAAACGGCTTGATGGGCTGCATGGTAGCCTGCAGGCCATATGTTGGACAGGCCTGCACTACTGTTACAATCAGTCTGTTCCTTGTGTCTGTGTGTTAGGAGACAAAGAGAAATTATAAGAAGTGTTCCCTGTCCAGTAGTTCCTGTTGCTCTCAGTGGGAGCTGTTGGATGTAGTGTTTTCTGAAAATCTACCTGGAGGCCTGGTTGTTACATGATCATAAAGGATCTGATCCCAAACTCATAGAAGAAAACATGTTCAATAGAAGAAAACATGTTCATTGACTTCAGTGAGCCGTTTCAGGTCCATGACTTTGGTTATTGTGGCAGTTAGCTGGTAAAGCTTTTTAAGTAGTTAAATACTCCATAAACTTCTTTGTGGTGGAAGACAAAAAGAGCGGAAGTAGCAGGCCTGTGCGAAGCGGCTAGTATTCGCTTCGGATTCGGGTGATTCTGAGGACAGTAATTCAATTTGCTGTGTCAAATCACTGCCCCGAATCGATTCAGCCGAATCCGATTTGGAGATTCGGTCGCTGCCAAATCTGCTAAATCTCTAAATCAGACAGGCCCCATCCCCTGCTTGCTCTCCCAGCTCTTTTAAAAAAAGAAAAAAAACAAAAAAAAAAAGCGCCCTGGACTCACTGGTTCCTGCCAGGCGAGGTAATTCCCGCTGCCCTCCACTAGCCTATGCTGTGTGGGGAGCTCTGTCACAAGCCCCCATCCCCTGCCTGTTCTCCCAGCCTCAGCTCCCAGCTCTTTAAAAAAATAAAATAAAAAATCCCCCACTCAGGAGGGCAGTCCCCACTGCCCCACGCTTCATGGGGGGCCCGGCTACGAGCCCACCGATCCCCACCCACTCTCCCAGTGTCCTGCCTCCCACTACCCTATGGCTGCCTCACCCAGCCCCAGCTCCCAGCTCTTAAAAAAAATAATTAAAAAAATTAAAAAACTCTAGATTCACCAGCTGCTGCCAGGCCAAGGGGGGGTGGGCAAGCAATCCCTATACAGTGGGGGGCAGTGGGGATCACCCCGCCTGCCTGACAGCAGCTGGTGAGTGGGGGCTTTATTTTTTTTAAAAGAGCTGGAAGTTGGGGCTGGCTGGGTCAGCTGTGGGTGGGGATCAGGGGCGCTCAGGGGAGCTGGGGAAGCAGGCAGCGGGTAGGGCCTGGCAGGTGTGCGCTACGGCTTGTCGACAGATCTCAGTGATTAAATGCATTTATCATGGCTGTCTGTGACATGCACTTTTAATAGAGATGAGCCTTTTTCTGAATGGCAGTTGAACAAGGGGACACAATTTTTTATAGTGCTATAAATTCCCTCCTCTGTTCACTGAATTTGACAAGCGTCAGAATAGGAATGAAAATATAATTCTGGTAAGAGTGTTAGTTCCTTTTAGATTGCCAACTCTCTAATGCTGTAGTGCAGGGGCGAGCAATTATTTCAGCTGGAGGGCTGCTTCATGACTTTTGGTGAGCTATCGAGGGCTGCAAGTGTAGCCATGCCCCTTGACAAGTGCCTGCCTCCTGGTTGCCATCTTGGTACCAGAAGTCCTGCTCCCTGGCCCCTGCCCTTTGTCACTGGAATTCCCTGCCCTTGGCCTGAAATACTCTATTTGGGAAGGGGGTTAGCCATCTTGGAACCGGGAAAAAACAAACAAATTATATACTAAAAATCTAACATCCACAGTGACACATTTTAATTTTATTTTTAAAAGATTTTTTTTGTCCCTGTTTGTATGTTTTTGTGTCATATATACAAGTGATTGCACAATAGTTCAAAATGAAGTCTCAGTCTTGTATATTGCGGGGCAGTGGAAATGGGTGTATATGGGGTGTGGGGGGTATGTGTGGATATGGGTGGATATAGAGGGCTTGTGGGGGGGTGTTTTTGGGGCTGTGTTGGGTGGGTATGGGGTTTGTGGAGGTGTGTGGCTGCATGTGTTTGGGGTGTGTGCAGGCAGTAGTGAGCTGGGCTACCCACAGAGACCTATGGGTGTGTGTGGGGAGGGGTATGGGGGGTTGCAGTGTTTGTGGGGTGCGTGATTGTGGGTGGGGGAGAGTGTGGTTGTGGGGTTTCTGGGGGAGGGTTTGTGGGTATGGTGGGGTGCGCATGGGAGCCCCTCACATACGCCCCCCTGAGCTGGTCAGCACCTGCCCCTACCCCGCAACAGCCTGGAGCCCATGCACCCTGCAGTGCTTCCCCACCACTACCATCAGCGCACAGCCCCAGTGCGCCCCGCATCCTCTCTGGACTGACCCCAGCAGGAGCAGATCAGCCACACGTGCGCACAGCCCTGACCCGGCCCCCATGCCTGCTCCACTTCACCCACCCGTGGTGCATCCTGCCACCTCCTGGGCTCGCAGCAGGGCTAAGGTGGCTCCACACTGGACTGCCTTTCTAGGCAGCTGCTGGCCTCAGCTCTGCAGTATTGGCAGGGACCCACACGCAGCACCGCCCCATGCCTGATGCAGACTTGCCTGCTCACGCTGAACAGCTGCAGCAGCAGTGGGGCCAGTGGGGGAAAAGCAACCTCTCCCTCTCAGTGCTGCCCAACACTTCCTGCAGCAGCCATGTGGAACCCGTGCTGGGTTGCCATGCGACTCCTCTGTGCTGCCCCTGCTGCCCTGCGGAGCAGCCTGGAGGTGGCAGTGACAGTGCAGGGCAGCCCAGTGTGGGCTCCACACGGCTGCTGCAGGAAGTGCTGGGCAGCGCTGAGGGGGAGGGGGAGAGGCTGCTTTTCTCCCACACCAATTAGGAAGAACTACTTCACAGTTAGAGTGGCCAAGGTCTGGAACGGGCTCCCAAGCGAGGTGGTGCTCTCCCCTACCCTGGGGGTCTTCAAGAGGAGGTTAGATAGGCATCTAGCTGGGGTCATCTAGACCGAGCGTGGGTCATCTAGCCCCGGCGCTCTTTCCTGCCTATGCAGGGGGTTGGACTCGATGATCTCTTGAGGTCCCTTCCGACCCTAACATCTATGAAAGTACACTTCTGTCCTGCTGGGACTATTGTTGCTACAGCTGTTCAACATAAGCAGGTGTATTCGCAGGAGGCGCAGAGTGGGTCGGGGCTGCGTGTGGGTTGATGCCAGTACTGCAGGGGTGGGTCCAGCAGCTGGCACTGCCTGGGCTGCCTAAAAAGGCAGTCCAGCACTGAGCTGCCCCAGCCTCGCTGCATGCCCAGGAAGAAGCAAGACATGCCACTGTGGTATGATTCCTGGGCTAGGCAGGACTGAGGGACCCATCATGGGTTGGGACAAAGCCCCTCCATGGGCTAGATCTGACCCGTGGGCCGTATTTTGCCCACCCCTTTTATAGCGTCTCAAG